TAGTAGTTTTTATAATCCAATGTCTCTTAGCAGCTATTGTTTGCTCATTAGCAATCAAAAAATTTAAAGTCAATATAACATCATACAGAATCCAGACTCCCTGTGTATTTCCCATCTTTATGTGGCTTATTTTTTTATTATTTATAAACAATTTGCTTTTTTTCTAGGACTCTTTATACCCATTTTCTTTTCTTTCTTAAGCCTATGCACATTTTTAAACACACCCTGCAAACAGAGACTTTTCTCTGTCCCACCCCATTCCACAGCCACTTCCAAATAATCACTCAGAGGCTTATATATTTAAATTAACCCATTTCTTTTTTTCCTCCTTTCTTTTTTTTTTTTTTTTTTTTTTTGGTCTTTTGAGACAGGGTTTCTCTATGTAGTGTTGGTGCCTGGATTTCACTCTGTAGACCAGGCTGGCCTCGAACTCACAGAGATCCAACTGGCTCTGCCTCCTGAGTGCTGGGATTAAAGGCATGCACCACTTCTGCCTGGCTAAATTAATTCATTTATATTTATCTATTCATCACCATGTGGCCTGTGGCTTACCAATCCTTTGGCATCTTGCTCCTTGGGTGGCTGGCTTGCATCTGCCTCAACTCTGCCCCTCTTTCTCTGAGTCCTCAGTTTGATTATTCCACCTAACCTTATCCTGTCTTGCCATAGGCCAAAACAACTTTATTATCAACCAATGAGAGAAACACATATTCATAGCATACAGGAGGACCATCCCACAGCATACTGTAACCTGTTTAGAGTTTTTCCCCCTATCTGCATCTGAAATGCTTTACTGTGTATCTGTAATCTTTTCTGTCTGCATGAACAAAATTTTAAACCACTGTACAGTTTAGATCATGGCACACTGCCCACAGGCAGTGGCCAGGAGATGCACGTTTCTGTACATGCATGAGAGACTGCAAGATTAGGAAGTCGTGTTTGGAACCCTTTTTTTTTTTTAAAGCTTTCTTAGGTCTTATGTGTACTGTGCCCCACATTGGGCACAATTAGCAAGGAGTCTTTCTCTGTTTTGCCAGCCTGCTCCCAAAATTATGACAGGAAGAGCTATTATTAATTGTGAAATCTCAGCTGATAGTGTAGGCTTGCTTTTAGCTATCTCTTATAACTTAAATTAACCAATTTCTGTTAATCTATGTGCTGCCCTGAGGCTCATTTACCTCATCTACATACATACTGTCCATCCTGATTTCCTGGTTCCTCCATGTCTCTTCTTAACTCCATCCTTTCTCTTCCTAGCATCCTCTGTGCCTGGAAATCCTGCCTAGCTATTGGCAATTCAGCTTTTTATTAAACCAATTGGAGTGACACTTCTTCACAGTGTATAAAAAGATTATTCCACAACAGGAAGGGCCAAGCTCAAAATCACTTTGGGGTTATGCACAGTGTCCAAATTGTGCAAAGCTAATTATGAAAACAGAACTACATCTTTAACTCCAGTACATGGGGGGCAAAGGCAGGTGTATCTCTAGAAGTTTGAGGCTAATCTGGTTTACATAATGAGTTAGTGAGTTCCAGGACAGCCAGAGCTACATAGTGAGACTACACACACACACACACACACACACACACACACACACACACACACACCTTTCCATGGATGAATACTGATATATATTTACCAGCTTTTGTTTTGTTTGGCTTGTAGTTGACAATGTGAAGGAGAGAATTTGTAGATTGAGGAGGTGTGTGGGTGGAACAAACATGGCAGCTGAAGACTTGTGGAAGGTGTTGTCTTAGTTAACTTTCTATAGCTGTGATAAAATGCCATGACCAAAAGCAACTTGGGGAGAAAAGGGTTTAGTTTATCTTACAAGTCTCAGGTCACACTCCATTACTGGGAGAAGTTGGGGCAGGAACTCAAGGCAGGAACCTGGAGGCAGGAATTGAAGCAGAGGCCATGGTGGAATGCTTCTTACTGGCTGGTTCACCCTTCTTTCTTCTAGCACCCAGGATCACCTGCCCAGGGCTTGTACCACTCACAATGTACTTTGCTCTCACACATCAATCAAGAAAATGGTTTACAGACTTTCCTATATTCCAATCCTATAGACATAGTTCCTTGATTACAGTTTCTTCTTCCCAAATGACCCTAACTTCTGTCAAGTTGACATGAAAATTAACCAGAACAGGTGTGAGGCAAGTGTAGAAAAGTATCTCTGCTCTAGGTGTACCGTGTTCCAGGAAATGAAGAGAGCATCTGATGATGTCTCAATCTCTGTTGCTGACTTAGAAAAAGCTGGCAGAGTATGAACAGTGCTTCAATCAAAGGTATGTGTCTAAGTAAAGAGTTCTTAATTAAAAAAAAATGTGGATTCCACAAACTGAAAATCAGTGATCCTATACCATCCCTGGGCTTCTGAAGGCAAACATAAGAGCCAATGGCTGGAAGTTGGAGGGATATGGAGTCTGACTCAGTATAAATAACTATTTGACCAGCCAGATCACCCAGTAATGGAGTGGGCTGCTTGCCCAGAGATGGACTTCTTTGTTGTGTCAAATGTGTGAGCAGAAGCTGGCCATTCACTTTCTGGGAAACTTTCCCAAGAATTTCACATCATTTTGTGTTTGACTCTGGAGTTGCTTCTGATTTTGAGGTCTTATGACTTTAGGACAGTGTTAGTATGAGCAGGAAGAAACACAAAAAAGAGATGCTATAGCTAACAGGGTAGAGGAATTTGAAGCTAGATCATAGAGTTAAAAAGAGTAAATCGTAGTGGGCTGTGGTAGCTAACAGCTGCAATCTCAGCACCTAGAAGGTTGGGCAGGAAGACTGCAAGTTCAAGACCAGCATGGGTAATTTAGTGACATATTGTCTCAAGAAATAAAATAGAAAAAAAAGTTGTGTGTGTGTGTGTGTGTGTGTGTGTGTGTGTGTGTGTGTTTGTGTGTCTGGTCATTTGAATATTTGAATAAGGATGGTCCCAGAGACTCATATATTTGAATGCTTAATCAACAGGAAATGGCACTACTTGAGAAGGATTAGGAGGTGTGGCCTTGTTAGAGTACATAGAAGTATTATTGGGGCTGGGCATTGAGGTTTCAAAAGTCCAAGCCAGTCCCAGTGGCCTAGACTATACAACAGTTTGGTTCCCAGCAGAACACACACACACAAAGACAACAACAACTAAAAGATAATGCTGTCTAAGTCAGGTGGTGGTGGGGCATGCCTTTATCCGAGTGCTTGGGAGGCAGAGAAAGGCAGATCTCTGAGTTTGAGGCCAGCCTGGTCTACAGAATGAGTTTCAGGACAGCCAGGCTACACAGAGAAAACCTATCTAAAAAACAAAACAAAACAAAACAACAACAAAAATCCCAAACCCCACAAAACCAAAAACAACAATAACAAAAAAGGTATGCTGTTTAGATGAAGACCCCCATCAACCTCTTAGCCCCAGGCATCAGTGTCATCCCCATAATATATGGCTACACAGCAGCTCAAAACAATTACACTGAAAAGGAGGGTACCAATCAACGTCATCTGTAGGATGTTTGTGTTTTCACAAAGGATGACAACTTCAAAATGGAATGTTAGTTCAGGAAAGGGGAGGGCAGTATCCCGCATAGGTCCCCTTCCTAAGCTGGGCCTCAGACACTGAGGACCATGGGATGATGGACAAAGCACATCCTTGAAAACAGACCGAAAGCTAGGGGAGAGGCTAAGAAGTGGAGCAAGACTGAGGGTGGGATGGGGTGGGGTGGGGGAGTGGCTGGAAAGAGGAACCCCTGTGCTTTTGTGCATGCCCACGGCCAAAGATCCTGAGCTGGTGCTGAAGACTGGAGAGGGAACCAAGAGACCTGGGCTACAATGCTAACTGTGCTCTGACTTCCTACTGACCTTGTAGGTTCAGCTCCCTTCTATTGTCACATGCAGGGGCCCTCTTAGTTGAGAAGCACTTCTGCTCTGCCTTCGGGAAGAAATAGCTTTAGAAATTTCAGGTGTCTGCATGTATGCCAAATGCATCCCTGTTTTCAAGGGCATACGTAGGAGAATGGATGAGAGAGGAAGGTGAGAAGACACCGTGGGCAAAGGTTGCTCAGCCCTCCCAGGGCATCCCAGGTAACTCTGAGGGTGATGGGGACTAGAGCACGTGCCTGCAACTTCTAGACCAGCCAAGCACCCAAGAAACCAAGCGGGCATCCTAAGGACTTTCTCTTCATGAAGTAAATCCCTTCACAGAATTCAAGGCTCAAAAAAACGAGGCACGCCCCTCCCCCACTAGAGGGCACTGAAACGCCTTGTTCGCGATTTTCAAAATGCAGGCAGGAAAAAAAAAAAAAGACAAAAAGAATATGGTGGAGGTGCGTTCATTTCGACTCACAGGTCCTGCTGTGCAAGGCTGGGTGCCTAGGGCACTCTCTTTCCCCTAGGGCAGCCCTTTAGCCCGCAATGGGGGACCTCGACTTTGGAGAGAGGGTGAAAACGAAGGGTGAGCTTTAGAATGAAAACCCTAGTGTGTGGAGCTGGGTGGGAGGCTCCCAGCCTTTGCGGCGCTGTCTCCTGTGAGAGAAGCAGGGGGCGGGGTAGGGTGGGGATGGATCCGCTGGCTGGGGCCCACCCCTTCAAGGTCTGGAGTCCGGTTCCACCTCAAAGAGGCCCCGCAGAGGCCAAATCCAGCGGTCTCAGATAGAGATCATGACAAACACTACACCGAGGTTGCTTTAACTCTCCCTCTCCTCCAACGCATCTACAACTGCCCTCTCCACCCCATTGCGATTCTCTTCTGGTCTTGAACGGATCAGTCAGTTGTCTCCTTTTCTTGATGAAGAGTCAGCGCAGGTGTGCGTGTGTGCGTGTGTGCGTGTGTGCGTGTGTGTGTGTGTGTGTGTGTGTGTGTGTGTGTGTTGTTGTTGTGTCAGGCACTGGCTTAGAGCTGGCCGAGAGCCTTGCGGCTGCTCTCTGCTCAGCTCCAGGTGGAAATGCCAGTAGCTAGCAAGGTAGTGCTTATGGCTTTGGGGGGGGGGGCGCGACAAAGATCAAACGAACAGAAGACACTAGCGGCTGAAACACGGGGCGCAGGGGTTCACTCAGCGCTGGTTAAAGATGGTTCTCTAAGCTTTCTTTTCTTTAAAGAACTGTGGCGAATTTAAGGGAATTTTCCACGGTCAAAAGAGAAACAGGAGACGTGGGCACCAAGCCTAAATTTATAATACACGTAAACACGCTACATGCCACATGTATGTATATGTGCATAAATATGGATGTGATGGAGTGCATACCTACCTAGACACCATTGACTTGCCTGGCCAAAGAATAAGGCTCAGACATTTCGTGCCTGGGAAATGGTGCGGTTCAACTTTAAGAAGGCTAGAAAAATAAGAGATGAGGCTCACGTTGCACGGATGACATCACTAGCTTTTGGCTGCGCGCTCCGTGTTCTCGACTGTGGGTTTTAGCCAAGGCTGCAGCGCCTAGAGGCCGAGCGAGTGACAGCGGCTTCCTCGGGCGCCCACACCCGGGCAATGCGATTTCTGGAGCCCCTGGGGCGCAGGCTAGGCTCTCGCTCCTCGCGGGCGTCGGCTAAGCCTGAGAGGCCCGGAAGCCTCCGCGGCTGGAGGAGGAGATAGGGAGGGTAAGCCGAGGCACTCAGGCTCCCTACCCCCCACCCTCGCCCCATTCACCACAGTGCGGGGAGCCGGATCGCGGGACGCCGAGGCCGGGACGGGATCCTCCGCACGAGGCCGAGGGACCCCGCGCCTCGTCGCCTGGGTGGGCTGCGAAGAAAATGGTGCAATCTGAGAGCGGCTGACCCCAGCTGGCCAGAGCAAGCGGGTGCTGGACTGCTCGGGCTCAGGTGGCGGAGAAGGGGGCGGGTTGCTTCCAGCAGCCTGGTCCTGGGTTTTCTTGGTGCCCGCAGCATTTGATTAGCACCTGGGCAGCTCCCACGCGGGGCTGCGGGAGGCCAGGTGAAGTAGGCAGAGGGGATCTTGGAGGAGGCTGGGTGTACACACTCCAGGAAGAAGGCGCTGGAAAGAGCGGAATGACGCCGAGGAGGTTGGCGGCTGGGCCGGCTGCACGCCATCCCTGAGCGACCTGTCCATGGTATTGAAGGAGCTCCGAGAGCCCGGGGTGCGCCCTCCTCTGTGCAGCCCGCCCCTAGCGCTCGTCAGCTGCCGCCCAGTCTCTGCAAACCCCGGGCCGGGAATAGTCGCCTAACGCCGCCTGGGTGTCCCCGCTGCCCAAAAGCTAGGCAGTCTGAATGGCGAGGCCAGAGGCAGGCCACCCGGGAGCTCGCGGGGAAAGGCTGTCAGAGACCGTGCGTCCTCGGGCAGCTCACCTCTGAGAGCACGCGTGGGCCGGCAGGAGCCGAGGACCTACTGGTGATCAGAGGACCGAGGCTTTGAAAAGACCCGGCGGGGAGAGGAAGAACAGTTTTGGGCGCGCATCCCCGGCCTTCGGCTTCAGATCGAAAAGGGGAGAGTCCGGGAGAACGAGATCCAGGGCAGCCGGGTGCGGGCTCGATCCATTCCTTCGGCGGAGTGCCGCGTCCTCACACGCCCTCTCTATCATTCCCAGGAAGCCAGGACAGTCACTCCGGTCAGCACAGAGAACCCCAACATATCCCGCCGCGGTCGAGAGCACTTGGTATTTAGTTTGCGGTTGTCGGGCCGCGCGCCGACTGTCCTAACCCTCTTGAGCGGTGGGAAGTAGCGGTGTTGAGTTCGCCACCGCCGGAGGAGGCTGCACCAGCCCGGAGGATGCCCAGGACCTCGCGGGAGCCTCTCCGGATCAGAACTTTTTAGGCTGCCCGCCCCGATCCCCGCAGTCTCCCGGCTCCGTACCCGCAGGTGGGGGCCAAGGGGTCGTCGCGGCGCAGATCCCTTCCAGTCCCCACCCCCAGCTCGGCCGCCCGCCGCTTTGTTCCGGGCGCGCAGAGGGAAGGCGAGGCTGCAGCGGATCATGCCCATGGTGTAGCCGCCAAGCGGAGGCATGGCTGCCGGAAGGTTACTGCTCTACACTGGGCTATCGCTAGCGCTCTGCGCCCTCGGCATGCTGGCTGTGGCCATCTGCTCCGACCACTGGTACGAGACGGACGCCAGGAAGCACAGGGACAGGTGCAAGGCCTTCAACACCCGCCGGGTCGACCCCGGCTTCATTTACAACAACAACAACAACTTGCCTCTGCGCGCGAGCCGCTCGCGCCTGGACCGCTGGGAGGGCAAACTCCTCCGGGCCCGGAATCGCCGGCAGCTGTTCGCCATGAGCCCGGCGGACGAGTGCAGCCGGCAGTACAACTCCACCAACATGGGCCTCTGGAGGAAGTGCCACCGGCAGGGCTTCGACCCGGAGATCGCCGCTCTCATCCGGAAAGGTAAGCTCAAGGCTTGAGGCGTGGCGCTGCGGAGAGCCAGGCGCCTCTAGGTAGGCCCTGCAGCCCCTCGCCCCTCCTGGTGGCCACAGGCGATGGCATCTCCTGGTTCTGAGTGGTTCAGTTCGCCAGGCCCGACTGAGCCTTGGCGTGGGCAGAACTTGCCTTTCCATAGCGGTACTAGATTGTGGTAAAGGCTTCACTCTCTTTTGCTCACCTGCTGTCTTGCTCTTGTCTATCCAGATTCACATGGAATCTCCTGGGCCATTTTTTTTTTTTTTTTTTTTAAATCCAGACTAATGCTTCATCAGCCCCTGAGAAGGAAGGGAGTCTCCAATGTTGTTTCTGGAGGAAGCCCTTTAAGGGTGATGTGTCAGGGGTAACTGGCTCCGAATTTTAACCTTTGTTTTAGATGTTGAACTGATTCCATCAAGGGAAACTCAGGGTGGGGGATGACTCCCGCAGAAGGCCGTATGAACCCCAGAAACATTTACTTAGAAATACACCGTAGAAGTCATGGTGTAGGTATCGGTCATATAGACATCAATAAATCACAGCCCCTGCCTTATAGTAGCCCAAAGCGCCTATCCAGTAGCATTCCTCTACAGTCCTTTATTTCTTCTTCTTCTGGAAAAGTGGTTGACAGAAGTGACCGTTTGCAGTGAATATCACCAGTCTAATAAGCACAAAAAGTGACACCAGAGCGGGTCCATCAGAAGGAAAAAAAATACTATTTTCAGGTTTATATAAAAACACTCAAGGTTTTTATATATAAAACAGACAATAGGCAAATATTTGCTATAGCACTTGATATTTGAATATGATCACATGTATAGAAAAGCCTGCTTCTCTGATGCAGTTTGTAAGCCCTGAGTGACTTATATGTCGGAAACCATCCTGTCTTATCAGCCCACTAGAAATACTGTTTGATATGATGTGCTCTCATGTCGCTCTGAGGAGGGGACTGTATTCTTTTCTATGATGGCTGCTCCCTGGGAAGCTGTGTAGGTTTTAGACCTTGTTTCTCTCCTCATATGTCACTCTCTTCAACTCGTGAGTAGTTGACAACTGTGCTAATGTTTGCAAATATGCTTTGAAGCCGAGACATAAAGCGATTCTTAATGTCTCACATCACCATGAAGTTCATTGGTGTTTTAAAATAATATCTGAGACAAGAGATGCACTTTGATTTACAAAAGTGTCGAGGCTGTTCAAAAGAAATTGTTAATTTGAGAACACACACGCATGTACACACCCATCCACACGCACCACCACCACCACCACCACCACCACCACCACCACCACCACCACCACTAACAACAATAACAACCAACCGTGTAAGAATGACAAGTAGTGGGTATGTTCCAGGAGGCCATTTCACAGTTAGGAGGTGAGCAGGAGAGGTAGGAAAGAGAGAGTTAGTGTCCATCTTGACGTTTGTTGTGTAGCTTCTTGGGAATGACTAGGGATTCCAGTTTTAGGCATGGGCATGTTGGTGTTTACAGGCATCCCACCCGCTTCCTGACAAGGCTCTTATTAGTGTGGCCTGACCTAGGTGGAACTCTGCAACTTTGTAAGGATGCACAAGATGTTATGGGGCTTGGCCGAGAAGCAGGAAAACAAGAGGAAGCATAATTATTTTTCACAAGGGGGACTTTATAACTGTTTTCAGATTAATGGTGTTATTTTATCTATGCTCTGCTTTCTTTAAAATGGAAATGACAGCTGAAGTGTTAGGGAGAACTGCTAATAATGACTGGTGAGCGCTGACAAGATTTGTTGAAGGGCATTCTTCAATTTCCTTCCTTAAACCTTTTAGAACAAGACTGGTATCCTATGTCTGGTATTGGCTGACCCTATTTAGAGAGAGAGGGGAATGGGATTTGTGGTTTCTGGTGGCTCCATCCAGGTCTCTGATTCCATTTTGCCTGCTTGGCAATCTGACTAGAGAGGTTGACTTGGTCTGTGCATCAGAGGGACTGGTTACCATAGTGACATGTTCTTCCGGTGAAGCTGGAAACATAGTGGCAGGGCAAGGGATAGGGGAAGAATGAACAACATTTTGACTTTGTATCGACTGATTTTTAATTGCAGCAACAGAAAATGGACACGCACAGCAGGGGGATTGAATATACTGATACCCAGAGTTGGCAGGGCATTGTATTTCACTTGAACTAATGGAAATGCTGTTCCCCATCACCTCAAATACAGCAATCACTGTCAGCTGCAAGCGCTTGCTCACCATGGCTGTTTCTGTCCTGTTGGCACTCTTGTTAGGCATTATTGAGACGGATGGCATGCTGGGCTTACAAATCTTGAGAGACCTAAGGTCACCATCTTCATTTTTTAACCTCGTAACATCATCTTTGAAAACCAGCTCTTCCCTTTCCAAGCATCAATAGACATTTCGTAAACAAGTGCATTTTATATTAATAGAATTTATGGGCAATTCTAATAACATAGAGAAAGCAACTTCTAGAATTAACCAGCATTTGTTCTAGATGGGTGGATTTTATAAGGAAGCTAAAATTGATACTTCTATATTTAAATTTAAGATACCTTAAGGAAAGAGGTTTATCTCATATTATTCATTAGAAGCCCCAAAGAGAACTTAGATCTTTATCTCTTTTTTTTAGAACATATTCTATTACAATTGTGTGAGATATATTTTGGGCAAAGGAAAGGGAAAACTAAAGAAAAGGTTGTTTAAAGTCTATTTAAAATGTTGTGGGAAAATGTGAGTTGTGTCTTTTTTTTTTTTTTTTTTTGGCTTTTCGAGACAGGATTTCTTTGTGTAACCGCCATGGCTGTGCTGGAACTTGCTCTGTAGACCAGGGTGGCCTTGAACCCACAGAGATCCATCTGCCTTTTCCTCCCAGGTGCTGGGATTAAAGGTGTGCGCCACCACCACCTGGCAAGAGTTGTATCTTAATGATCCTATTGTCCTAAAGGGTTTGGTGACTTGTTAAGTCAGCCATTGCATTGAAAAGTGCTGCTTGCTCTTTTGAAAGAAAACAAAACCACCAAAAGAATAAGAAAGCAGAATCAAATTCTATCATACACAAAGATGAAGCATCTCGGATTCATGTTCTTTCTGCACACGGCTGTGCACAGCAGAATGTGTCTCTGGCAGTGATAATTGTTTCATTATTGAACTAGAAGTTCCTGGATGGCAGGCAAAACACACATTTGTAACACACATCCACCAGAGCCTTGGTTCCTGGGAAATACCTCATACAAACTGGGCTTATAAATGCATCTATCCAGAGCCAATTCTAGTTATGGGGATACTTGTGTGGGAATACAAATAATAGATTAGTTGGGAAATCATGATGAAAAAAGAAAAAAAAGAAACTACTGTGACTATGAGTCTAGGTTAATATTGTAACAGATGCTGAATGAGACATCAAAGAAGGATTTCTTGCACAAAAGCTTTGGCAAGGAATAAGGGAAACTCCCAATTCTTTTTGGGTAGCATATGCCACTGAATAGTCACACATCATCCAAAGTCATTATTTTCCATGTTAGATAAGATTTCAATTATTCTTTTCTTGGAGGCTGGATTGCGTATAGGGAGTAGCAAGAACTGATTACTCCAAATACTAATATGACTTTGTCAACGAGGAGTCTTAAATCATGTCCTCTATCTTCTAAACCTCATTCTGGTCTTTCAGAAAAGTCAACACAGGTACTGGGAGCAGATTAATGGCAAGACCAATTTCTGAAGTTCGAGAGATATCCAGAGAGCTCTAAGTAAGGCTTGTTCCAGGGAACATTTTATTTCTTTGGTTTGTTCCTTCCTTCCTTCCTTCCTTCCTTCCTTCCTTCCTTCCTTCCTTCCTTCCTTCCTTCCTTCCTTCCTTTTAAAGACAGGGTCTCACTATGTAGCTCCGACTGACCTCTAGCTCACTATGTAGACCAGGCTAGTTTCAAACTCACAGATATCTGCCTGCCTTTCTTCTGAAGTACTGGGAGCAAAGGTGTACGTCATCGTGCTCAGCCTTTAACTGATCAAGAACTTTTTATTGTTTTCAAATTTGCTTTATAATAGACTTTGGTCCCAGGAGTTTTCATGGTCATGAAGTGGTTGTGCTTTAAAAATTATTTTAATGGAACATTGTGCATATTTAAATTTTAATGTTGTAATCAGAAAATACTTAGAATAAACACATGTATTATATGATGCCTTGGCATACAGGACTAGCATGAGAGATGAGTAAGACCTGGCCCTCAAAGTTCATAAAGATGTTAGTGCCACAGGTGACACATTACAACTACATAGTGACAGAGCAGCCACAGACCCAGAGGTTGGGCGGTGGTGGCGCACGCCTTTACTCTCAGCACTTGGGTGGCAGAAGCAGGGGAATCTCTGAGTTCAAGACCAGCCTGGTCTACAGAGTGAGTTCCAGGACAGGCTCCAAAATTACACAAAGAAACCCTGTCTTGGGGGTGGGGGTGGGGGAAAGAAGTAGACCCAGAGGAATGTGAAGGAGATGAAGGTAGCTCTTCCCGGTGGGTAAGATGGGGTGGGGGTGGGGGGAGTAGAGAAAATTGTCCCTAGGAAATGAAATCTGAACAAAGGTTACAAAGTGTGGATGAGGAATGCCATTTCAGCAAGAGGGCTGACACTGGCAGAGCCCTGGAGGTGTGAGAAAGCAGTATGGCCTCCTGAGAGCTGGTTTCTGGGGTGAGGGAGGAGCAGCATCAGAGCTGGAATACAGGCAGGGACCAAATCCAGGAGCTTGATCACCAAACTCCCCAGAGCTACACCCCCGTTTGTGCCTGCTTGCGCAGAGAAGAACCACAGGTAAGTAAATCCAACGCTTCATGTCCTTCGCTGCATGGACCACACTGCAGATACTCAACAGCCACACTTGGCTGCTGGCTATTGTTTTGGACCATGTAGACTATGGTGAAGGTTCCCAAGTTTAGAGAAAGTTCTGTTGGACAGCGCCGCACAGAGCTCAGGGCCTCCAAAGAGAACAAGCTGTGTTTCCGATGAG